CTGCACAGGGTGTGGCCGTGCAGTGGTGAAGCTCCCGCCTCATATGTGGGAGGGCCCGGGGTTGATTCCTTGTCTTGGAGATCTAAAGTTTGGTCCCATGACAATAAGGGATCCTGTGGTGGGACAGATGATGCTTCTGGGCTGGAAGCTGAGAGGGCAGCAAAGCCTCTGACCCTTCACTCCCTCGGGTTCCCTGGCATCTTCCCCGACAACACACCAGAAAAGTCCGGGTAAGGAAGATGGTGCTGAGGTTGGGATCCTGGAGGCAGAGAGACCAAGCCCAGCCTGGTTCCTCTACTCACCTGCTACAAGAACTTCAGGAATTCCTCTTCTCTTCGCACCTCACCTTCCTCACCTGTAAAACAAAAAACTCATTCTTTTATTCAGGAATGCCAAGAGGGCTAGGGAAGACCCCATATGTCAGATGTCTGCTCACTGCTAGTAGCTCTGGGGCTCTGTGCCATACCCTGCCCCTTCATTTTTACCCTTAGGATACTAAGCTGATGAAAGTCACTTGGATAACTGTGAGATCACTCTTAGCTGTGAGATTTGGGGTCTCTGGTTTTTTTGGCTTGGCCCAACATTCAGAATTTGTGGGGAGATTATGGGAAGGTTGGCAATGTTGCCAAAAAAAAAAAAAAAAAAAAAAAAGCACCAAACCCTACAGTGTGTCTTGGCACTGGCAGAATGCCCAGGCCCTTCATCCCTGGGAAGGGAGGACAGTGACTATAATTGCCTTCCCTGATTCCTAAGGCAGGTGTCTCCTTCATTAATGTGGACAGCAGCAGCAAACACAGTGGAAACAACAGCAACCCTACCCACCCATCCACGCACCCAGAGTGGAGTCCTAGGCAGATAATAGAGGAATAACGAGGAAGAGAGCTGGACTTGGCATTTCCTGCTGCAGCCCCAGCCCCAAGCCAGACCTCTTTTCCCTCCCTCCCTCTAGCCTCAATGAGCATTGGATCCAACCTTGATGCCCTCCCTGCTCTGTCCCAGGGCCACCCCCACTGACTCACTGCCTCCCGTTCCTTCCCATCCCTTCTGTTGCCCACTTCCACTCACCAACCCCCCCCACCCTGGAGCACTAGGAACTTGCGGGGTGGGGGGCACTGCTGGCAAGCACACATCACCTTCCCATGCCAGAGGCAAAAAAGCTCAAGCCACAGGCCCTAACTAACGCTGGCACAGCAGGCAGAGTTAGAGGAGGCACAGACATGCTGAGATAGAAGCAAAGCTGGCCCCTGGTTTCCTCACTCCACATAGAATGTGCATTGTAAGCAGACTGGATGTATGTTGTCCACTTTTGTACTTTAGCCCTGGGCCTGGCACAGAGCAGATGTTTAGAGGTGCCTGAAAATAGTCACAATCCCCTCCCCACCCCAAGGCTCCCCATCTGTGGAAGGCCCCGGGGTTGATTCCTTGTCTTGAGTCACATGGAAACCAGAGTCATAGGCAGAGACACATTCAGAGGCTCAGTTTGAAGTCAGAAGAGGCAGGTAACTGTGGGATGCATAGCCCCAAGATGGCAAAGGCATAGACAGAAGCAAGGACAGACTGAGGCCAAGTGGGGAACATCCAGGGGGTAGGGTCTGGAGCCAGTCTGGGGTGGCTGACCACAGCAGGCTCTGAGGGCTGAGCTTGCAGGACTCAGCAGTGACTCATGGAGCCCATCTCTGTGGCTTCACTGGCAGCAGAATCTCCTCACAGCAGCCTTTTCCACTGAGATCATAAAATGCAGATGAGCCTCCCTCCCCTGACCCTTGCACAGCCCTCATTCAGCCTCCTATTCCTTGTCAACAAGAATCAATCAAAAATAAAAGTGAGCTCTGGACATCGGTGAGCTTAGTGATAAGACCCACAGTCATATCTCTCACTCTGCCCCAAACTTTGCATACCCTTCTTCAATACTGCCCCAAATAGTGCAGGCAACAGATATCCCAAGCCTTCTATACCTTTCTCACCTTTGGCCTTGGTATGGTATTCATGGTCATCCAGAGAAATCACAGCCTTTCTGCCCAGTGCTCACACTGGCCTGGCAAACAAATCTGATAACAAGATTTGTGTCCTGTATCTGGAAGATTCTCATCCACTTTCCTTGATCAAAATCCTTCTTCCTTCAAGGCCTGAATAGCACCTCCTCCTCCTGGAAGCCCTCCCCAGCCATTCCAGCTAGGGAATACCAACCAACCACCTCTACTCAACTCAAGCAGCATCGAAGACCAGTATTGCCATCTTGTCCAGTGAGGTAGTTACCTATAACTTGCCTTGCTGTCCTGCATAGCAGACACCTGCCTGCCCCCCTGGCTACCCACACCCTGCTGTGCCTGCCTGCTTTCTGGGCTTTCATAGACCTGCAGAATCAATCTAACATTTTGGTCTTTTTCCTTTTTATCGGTACCGGGGATGGAACTCACAACTGCCTGCTTGCAAGGCAGGCGCATATGCCGCTGAGCTAAATCCCCAGCCCCCAGAATCAGCCTTTGAGGTAGGACCTGGAAGCTGCATGTTTGACAGGCTCCTCAGTGATTCTGACAACCTATTCATGTCCCCTACTGTTGGAGCAGCTACTCTAAAGGCCTTTCATCTCTAGCCTTTTTTTCTACTAATCTCCCCCTCCTAGGCTTCCATACAGCTCCCACCTGAAGCCACCCCCCGCCCCCCGCCAACACACACACACACTTCTTGAAGTTCGCCCAGATTCCCTCAAGGCTCCAAAGCACTTTCCACCAGTGGTTTGCAGTATAAAATAGGTCATGACAAACACTTATGATCCCTTACCATTGATCAGGCCTGGGCCAGAGTCCTCCCTGACTTGTTTCTTCATTTCCCTCCTCCCTGCTCTTTAGTACTGTTAATTCTGGCATTTGAACCCAGGGCATTAGACCCGACTTATTCCCCAGCCTCCCCCACTTTTTTTCCTGAGACAAAATCTAACTAAGTCGCCCAGTCTGGGCTTAAACTTCCCATCCTCCTCCTTCAGCCTTCCAAAGTGCTATGATTACAGGTATGTGCCTCCATGCCCAGCTTCCCATGTTTCGTCATTTGATCCTCACAGAACTAAGTTTGATTGATATTCCATTATAAAGATGAGAAAACTGAGGCTCAAAGAAATTATGTGACATTTTCAAGATGACATAGCTGGTAACAGCTGGGACTGGTTCCAAACTGTCAAATGTTAGTTAAGGAACAGCCCTTATCACTGATAGCTATAATTGGCTTGAAAGCAAAGTCACTGTTTAGTCTGTTTGCATTTTTCCCATGCATAGTACAGAAAAAGTAAATGTCAGGTACCAAGTCTGCAACCTTCAAAATGTATCAAGAGTTGTCTGATCCACAGACACATACAAAGTAGACTGATGGGTGATTTCCTAGGATGGGGGAGTGATGAAAATGTTCTATAGATTGTGGTAAGGACTGCACATCTCTGAACATATTAGAAACACTGAAGTGTACATTATTTTTGTTTTTGTTTTAAAATAGGTTCTCGCTATGTAGTACAGGCTGGCCTGAACTCATGTAGCCCAAGCCTGAACTCACAGCAGTCCACCTGCCTCAGCTTCCCAAGCTCTAGAGTTATAGGTGTGAGCCCTACACCCAGTTTGCAGTACATTTTTTATGGATGAATTTTTATGATATATGCATTTTATTTACTTCAATGATACCTTTTTAAAGTGAGAACATGCTGGGGATTTAACTCAGTCGTATAAGCACCTGCCTGGAAAGCACAACATCCATGAGTTTGATCCCTGGTACATAAATAAATAAATAAATAAATAAATAAAACCGAGGACACTCAGAATTAAAAACATTATATCATAGTGATATATGTGCACTCATGTTCATAGCAGCACAGTTTGTTTGTTTGGTTTTTTTTGGTATTGGGGATTCACAACCTCGCACCTGCCAGACAGGCACTTATGCCGCTGAGCTAAATCCCCAATCCCATAGCAACATAATTTGTAATAGCTAGACATTGGAAACAACCTAAATGCCCATCAACTGAGGAATAGATAAAACAGATGTGATATCTTTATACAGTAGTAGTATACTACTCAGCCATTAAGAAGGATAAACTTGAGACTTACAGGTAAATGAATACAACTTGAGACCATACTTATTAGTGAAATGAGACATGCATATATAAACATCATATTGTCTCACTAGTGTGAGAAACTGAAATTATATATAAAAAATTGTTAACATAGTTATACTACCGATTTCTTTGAGCTTATTTTTGTGCTGGTATTGTTCAGACAATTAAATGTAGATGTCTTTACTCTGAGTTACTGGTTTGAAGCTAACAGTATGCAATGTATATACCATTGTTACCCCCTAATTATTGTTTTGAATTTTCTCTTTAAAATTAATAAATAAAAAAGGGACATAGTGCTGGGTGTGGTGGCACATGCCTGTAATTCCAACAGGAATTCAGGAGGATCACTGCACTTTGAGACAAGCCTGGGCTACAAAGTCAAGGCCAGCCTAAACTGCACAGCTGTTTATTGTCAAAAACACAATAAACAAATAAATAAGAGACACAGTGGGAATTAGATTTGGGGACTTCTGTTATCCAGGGATTTCTGGACCTCATACCATCTTAATTTGTATTATAAATACTCAGGATAATCAGCTGGTTCCCACCTGCCATGTTCAGCAGGATACTTTTGTTCATTTGTCCCATACCTGGCTCCACATATTCCAGGAATGCTTTTGTTGTTCCAGGTGTGGTGGCTCTGCATCTTTGGGCAGCTTGACCCCTGACCTTTTGGGTCTCTCTCCTTGCTAGCCCTTCCTGTTTTGTAGATTCTCAATTCTGTAACCCCAATCCATTCGGTGTCACTTTAGTACTCCTAGAGGAAGTATGAAGAGGACCAGAACTAACATCCCTGTCCAAGGTCTTCCTTCTGTTTGCTACCTGAGAATCTCTGGGGCAGGAATCTAGATCCCCTGTTCCCCATATCCCTAAAACTCTTAGACACAAGGACAGAACACCTCTATCCATCTGAGAGATGTTTAATGTATCTTAGGTTCAAAGTACAAAACACAACACAGGGGCTGACCCCAGGAAAGCCACCTGCCACTCACCCACATACACACTGCAGCCAGGTATCCCAGCCCCAAAACAATGGAGCAGTGGCCCTATGATTCCGCCTTCTGTCCCTGTTTAGGGGAATGTTGAGGTGGTGGCATGAGAACCCAGAGACTACTGCATCCCATCTTAGTAAACCCAGATGCAAGGATCAGAAAGTTCTGGACTTGAACTCAAAACAGCAGATCCCCAGAAGGACCCTGGCTAAGAAACATCCCTGAAGTCTGGCCCAGGTCCCTGGCCCTGGCCCTGGTCCTGGAGAAGGAAGAACCATTGCTCCAAGACCTGGCAACAGAGGAAGGGGGCCAAAACAGGAAATGAAGACAGATTCCCACTACCCTAAGAAGAACAGGCTGAGGCCTACTCCATTTCCCATTGCAGCCCCTCAGTGGGCTGGCCCCTCACTGAGCTTCACTGCCAGGGCATTGTCTTTGACCTTGTGCTAGAGGGCAAGGAAGGTTAGCATCCACTGAGGAATGATACTTTTGTTTAGGTTCAGGAACAGCTGTCTATGATGAACCCAGGAAGACCCCTTTGAGAAGGAGCATCAGCTACCCAAATGTTGGCCTAGTCCTGAGAACTCTGGACTGGGTCATCAGCCATTACTGAAATAGAAGGTAAAAAGGATTAGATAGGAGCAGGGAAGTTATAAGAAGGGTCCCTGTGAGGACCAGCCCACAGGGAGACCCCTCTGACCAGCCCCAAAAAGGTCTAGTTGCTATTTCAGTCCAGGCTACTCTGGCCCTATGTCAGACCGAGTAGGTTACTCTGTCCACTGCCCAGGAACAGTTCCCACAGAGATGGCTCCTCCCATTCTTTCCTATGGCTCTGGGCTACAGCCTGCCGGCTCTGTTGAAGTGGATACACCAGTGGGAATTAGCAGTGCCTGGGCTAAGATGGGTGCGGTCCTTGTGGCCCATGAGGGGCTGCAGCTCCTGCTGCTGGGGGATATCAGCACTACTTTCACTGCGAGAGCGGCCAGCCTTGGCCAGGCTTGGAGGGAAGGCAAAACTAGGACGGGGGTCAGAGGACAGGTCAAGAAGAGCCTGGGGCTCTTCAGCATCCAGTTGTCTAGGAGGCAGGTGGGTCAGAGTGGGATCCTGGATACAGGGAGGGGATGCTAGGCTCTCCAGGGATGAGATGCTCTGATTCCAGCCCATCTGCATGTCCACAGGCACAATCTTGGTGGTTTCCGAAGACACATACACTGCCAGGTCTCCGTGCCCACTCTTCCAAGGTAGCTCCTTCTCTGCACAAGTTGGTGAGGGAGGAATTATCCGTGGGCTCGGGCACAGCTCAAGGCTTCCTAGGGATGAAGAGTACACATGAGCTCATTTATCAGTGCACTAGAACCCTTAAGTATAAAGCATATTCTCATAAGTAGACTCATTTCACAGTTGCCATATTATATCCATATATGATTATTTGATGACTGTTTTGCTGAGAAGAAATACCATGGCCAACATCTAGCACAGCACTGGACACAAAGTAGGTGCTCAAGTGCTATCTACTGAAAATGAAAGTAACTACAGCATGAGACAACAGGAGCTACTTGGGAAAGAAGTCGTGACTTTGCCACTCTCACCAGACCTGAAGCACCAGTCTCAGACACTGCATCCTGCCAACCCTATCCCTGTCAGCCAGCAAAGGTGACACAGGAAGTGAGGGAGAGGATGACCAAAGGCCTTGCTGCTGGGCACACTGCCTGAGTACCCACGGCAGGTGTTTGGAGGAAAGGAGTCCAGGAGTATGAGCTCTTGCAAACCTAACAGTAGGCTGAAGCTGTGTCACAAACAGGATGGAGATAGGGGATGGGAGCTTAGAAGCCCAGAACAACAGGCAGCTGAATTACAGGAACCTGAGGTTCTAAAAGACAAATGGCTCTCCAAAGTCAAGCACAGCTCCGTGTATATAAAAGTGCTCAGCATGTATCTGTTTATTGATAAAGTCCAGAAGAGTCCAGTTAAATCTTTTTGAGCACTTGTGTAGTCCTGGGGACAGAATTCAGGGCATCATGCATGCCTAGGCAAGCATTCTACCACTCAGCTAAGTCTGTCAGCCCCCATGGTTGAGTGCCTTATGAAATGTATTGATGCATGATTAAAACTGAAACTATATCTCTTAAAAGGCTTCCAATGTTAAAATTTAATACCAACAAAACTAAAACTGTCAGTCTAACTCTGACCGAGATAAGCACTTACCCATTTTTTCCTATATAGACTGTACCTCTAACCAAATAATTGATGAGGCGAGGTTTTTTTCTTTTTTAGAATTCCTGCTAATAAATACAGATGAAAAAAACAGATGTAGAATACTACCATTTTGAAATCCTTAATGAAATCTTGGCTCTGGCAATGATTATCAATGGCTGCTAAGACCATTTAAGGAAAAGTTAATAGGAACTTAATAACATCAAGGGAACAACATGTGAATCTAGTGTTATCTTTATGAAAAGAGACAATCATGGGGGGCTGGGGATTTAGCTCAGCGGCATAAGCGCCTGCCTTGCAAGCAGGCAGTCATGAGTTCGATCCCTGGTACTGGTAAAAACGAAAAAAACAAACAAAAAAAGACAATCAAGGTATGTTATTCCTGATGTAGCCAATAGGAAGCATACCATCATTACTTCTGAGGCATTCTTGCCAAAAAATCAAAAGTGAATGCTGGATGTGGTAGTGCATGTAATCACAGCACTCTAGGAAACCGAGGCAGGAGGACCACAAGTTCAATCCCAGCCTGGGCAACTTAGTGAGACCCTGTCTCAGGAGGTGAAACAAAACGAAACGAAACACACCCTGAAATTTGATCTAGATTTAAGGAAATGTAAGAAACAGAAAACTATATTAAATGACACTTGTAGAGATAATATCAGCAACATTCAGACAGGGAAAGACTACAGATCAAATAACTTGGTTTCTTCAACAAATATATTAAAGAGAAAAGAAGGGTTTTCCAAACTTGATACTATTAGCATTTGGAGACAGCTACTTCTTTTGTTATCGAATCCATCCTGTGCATTGCTGGATATTTGCAGTATGTCCTTGGCCTCTGACCAGTGAATTTCAGTGCACTCTCCCCAACTGTGACAGCCAAAATTTCTCCAGACATTGTCAAATCCCCCTTGAGGACAAAATGTTTTCACAGATGCCCTTTAGGGTTTCAACAGTACCCAAATCTAGAATATGGGTCTTACCTGTATTTTTATTTGGATCAAACTATATAAAAAATATAAATTAAAAAATATTCAAATAACCAAGAAAATCTGAACACTGATTATATACTTGATAAAGCCTTTATATGTGGTGATGATATAGTGATTTTACTTTTAAAAAGAATCCTTATCTTTTATGCTAAAGTATTTATTGGTAAGATCATACAATATGATATTTGAGGGGTTTTAGAGAGGATGCTTGGAAACTGCTTCCAAAAGGACTTTACCACTGAGCTACCTCTCATCCCTTTCTAAAATATTTCTGTCTTAAGACAAGGTCTTACTAAGTTGCCTAGGCTGGTCTCAAAACCGTGATCCTCCTGCCTCAGCTTCCCAAGTGCTGGGATTATAATTGGTATGCACCACTATGCCTGGAGAAATTTTTCTTCCTAAGAGCCCAGTGGAAGCTGGGCATGATGGTGCCTGCCTGAATCCTAGCACTTGGTAGGCTGAGGCAGAAGGCTCACTGCAAGTATGAGACAATCCTGGACTACATAGTGAGTTAGAGCTAGCATGGGCAACTTAACAAGACACTATCTCAAAAGAAAACCAAAACCAAGACCAAAATGCTTTGGAATCAGATGGGTCAGTTTCAAATTCTGGTTCTGCCATGTGATGCTAGACAAATCACAGGTCCCCTTAGACTCTGTCAGCTCAGTTCCCCATCTTGGTTGATGTGAAGGCTGAGCCAGATCACCAGTCAGGATTCTCATAGAAAGGAGATGCTCAGGAAATGCCGCCTGGTGATTAAACTAGTAACTAGGAAAAGAGAGTTATCTGGAGCAGAGGCCATGGGAGCAGAGAGAGGAAACTAGCTTACTCCAGTGGGGAGGGAGGCAGTGAGGAAGCCATTACCTGAGACTTTGCCCTCTTGGAGAACCTCACTGGTGGCCCGAGCCACAAAGATGATCCCCTCGTCGTCGTCCTTCTCTGTCTCTGAACTGTTGCTCTCCTCCTCCTCCTCAGACTCCACAGTTAGTATCACAGCAGCTGGACAGGTACAAGAGGTGAGTTGGGGTGGCCAGACCAGCAGCTGCCTGTTGGTACCACACAACCCCAAGCCAGCTCCTATCCCCATAGACAGAGCCCATGTTAGCAGAGGTGCCTGCTTTCTCCTCTGGCTGTTTTGGACAAAGGCCTAGGATGTAGGGGGTTTGAGAAGAGGAGACTGCAGAGCCTGAGGAGGCAACTGGGAGGAGCTAAGTTCTCAGGGAATGCCATGATGGTTACTTTCTAGATCCCCTTCATGATCCCACCATTGACCGACATGAGAACCTGGAGGGCTGGAATGCCCACTGACACTCAGCTCATTAGGGAAACTCTTAATTTGTTTTGTTTTGTAGTACTGGGACTTGAACCCAGAGCCTTTGTACTGACCTATATCCCCAGCTTTTTTTTTTTTTTTTTAAACTTGAGTCAGGGTCTCACCAAGTTGCTCAGGCTGAATTTGAACTTGCATTCCTCCTGCCTCAGGTTCCCAGAGTGCTGGGATTACAGATATGTGCCACCATGGCTAGCAGTGACTGGTTTTACAGATGGGACACTAGGCTCCAGTTTCCCTCAATCCTTAAAAGGCTCAGGCCTTTAGGCATGTATGATTTTTTTCAAGTTCTCTGAGCCCATAAACCATAGTTACCAGTAGGGTGCCTCCTGTCACACACTGGGTAGTAAATGCTTTAAATATTCCCAATGTTGAGAGCAAGCATGGTTACTTAGTTCCTGAGGGGAGAGGCCCAGGTCAGCACTGTTGGTATACCTAGAGGAGGTCCTCAGAATTCAGGCCCTACTCTTTCCCTCCTCCCTCCCATCCTCAAGCCCACCCCATCCCTGCTTGCCTGTATCCTGAAAGCCCAGGTCTCCAGGAGGTTTCCCATTTATAGCCTCAGCATTGGCCACACCATCCTTCTGAGGACCAAGAAAGAAAACCTGAGCTTTAGGGCCTGGCTTCACTCCCAGCCCTGTTGTCTGGCAGGGTCAACAGGAGGAAGCTTTTCCTAACCCAGCAGGGGAGGGGATTTGTGTCAGTCCCAATGGCCCTTCTATCCCCCCATCCCTTTGTCAGGCAGCCAGGAACCCACACCCCAGCAGGGGCTCTGGATGCATCAACCTAGGATGCTTGAGGGAGCTCTTAAGAATTGTCTCCAATAAATCTTTTTCCAACTGTTTTACCTTGGGATGCCTCTCCTTACCCTCCTGGGCCCCAGGAGGATCTAAAAGGGAACCCACACTGATGCACTTATCAAATCCCTGATGATGATTCAACTAGGGGGTTCCATAGGCTGGAATCCAACACTTAGGAGCTCAAAATTGCATGCTATCAACCTCCAGGCCCAAACCAAAGTCCCAGGAGAGGACATGCCTTCTTGCGGCCAGTCTTGTGGGGTCGTGGCTTGTTCTTGGTGAAACAAGTGTTGTGCTTGGTGGACTTAAAAGACTCCAGCCGCCGCTTCATGTTCTGTTGAAACACCTCCTTGTCCTGTCGCTCCTGTGCATCCTCGGAGATGAAGTGGCGGCTGCAGCTGGCTTTGTACTGGCAATGACAGCCCCACCCTGCCATAAGGCTGGGTGCCTGGGCCTTCCACAGGAACCCCCATGCCACAGCCCCAACATATTCACTACAGGTCCTGCCAGCACAGCTTTTCCAGAACTAGCCATGGATTGAAGAATAAAAAAATCCAGCCTGTATTTTCAATTCACTAAAGAAAACCTTCCCTTTATCCTAAAATTTATTCCCCCAAATCCTTTCCTCATCCTCTGCTGCCCTTTACTCAGTTCTCTGATTTAAGTAATAGGAGGTAGGGGGCTGTTTTGGCCTCTGTGGCTATGAGGAGACCATAAGAACCATTTTTTTCTTTGTACCTCCAAGTGAGTGTGGTCCACATACCCAGTCCACCTATCCTCTTCCAACCACAGAGCATCCTGTCTCAGGCTGGCCTTTCCACCTAGCTATTTCTGAAACCACCACCATGACAGCATGCTTTGGACTTCAATAACTATGTCCCCTGACATCCTGGACCCTCTTGACCTAACAGTGACCTACGTACCTCAGAGCCACCCTCTTCATATGGTCTTAACTTTCTTATAAAGATAAGCCCTCTGTACTGACTAACAGTCTACCTCTGTCCCTGCCCTTGGCAACCAAGCAATCTTTTCATCCATCCAGTGGTAGATAATCCCCTAAAATACTGCCAAGAGTATATCAAATCACCTGTATACCTCACAGGCTCAGTCTGGCTCTTTTTGTACCCCTCATATATTTGCTGCCTTGGACTGGCTCTTAACTTCCACAAGTTTCCCATCTGCCTTCTTCTACCTATGCACACAGAGGTGCCCCTCCACTGGGAACAAAGGGGCCTATCAGGACCCAGCACCTGGCCTTGACTTTGTTAAACTTACTTCTTCCTGCCTCCATCAGTTCTCTCCTTGCCCCAACTTCTTCCTGTATCTCTGCTGCTTCCCTTGTCACTTGCTGCTTCCAAACAAACTCTTGCCCTTGCCTCCTTAAAGAATGCCTTTCTATTCATGCCATTGCCTCCTTTTGCTGCCATTTATTAGTTGATTCTGATACTTTCCTTCATACTCAGTTCCTCCTTAAATACCAGAAATATGGCCCAGGGTTAACAAGTCCACAGCTGTCTTCTCTGGTCACCAGTCCTGTGGCCTCTGCCTAAGCACCAACATAGCCTCTGTTACAGCATACAGGCCTGAGACGCTATCTCCAGATGTTTCATCACAGGTTCCTTCTCTCTATTTTGCTGACTCCCTCCCCTTTCTCCCATGTGCATCCCTGTGTATTATCCTTGGCTCTCCTGTCTCTCCTCTCAATGCTGTCCCCAGAGAGTTTATCATGGCTTCAGCCATTTCCGTGTCATGAGCTGTGGTTCCTAGATATCACTGTCAGACTAGTTGTATTTGAATCACCTAGAGGACTTAAAAAGAACAGATTCTTATTCCTACTTCATCCTGCAGAATCAGAATCTCCAGGAGGTAAAGTCAAGAATAGTCAGCAAGCTTCTCAGGAGATTCTGTTGTAGCCACATGAGGACACCTCTGATGTAGACTACTTCCAAATTGTTCTCACCAGCCTTCATCCCTCTTTCTTAATCTCATCTTTCTAGCTGCATACTAGATGGCTCTGTCTTGCTAATGATATTTCTGGCAAGAACATGAGGAATGATATATTGTCTCATGGTATAACTAAGCGGATTCAGAACTGGTTGAGTAACCATACCCCAAAAATGCTTGATCCATGTCAGTCTGGAGGAAAGTCTTTAGTAGCATGCCACAGGGCTCTGTCCTCAGCTCTATCCTGTTCAACATTTTTATGTTGACTTAGATGAATACAAGGTTAACAGGCTTAGCAAATTTTCAGATGATATGAATCTGAGAAGTAGACATTGGTGGCAGATATGGTATCCAAACGATGGAATGATGGGCTAAATTAAATAAGATGACATTTAACAGTATAAGCACAAATTTTCTCCAGTTCTTTTTAAATTGCCTACACAAGAACTGAATGAACTGAATTCAGTGACCAATCTTAAACACACACACACACACACACACACACCAATCATGATATACTCCCTGATGTAACACTGTAAGAAATACACGGCATACCAACTGAATATCTGTGAATCTTGTCAGGGCTATAAATTTAACAACCAAGAAATATGGAGGGTGTTGTTCAGCATGTTAAACAACACAGCAATATAATCATTAAAATCAAGAAAATGGGAAATTTTTAAAGTATACTATTTCTTCAATAAATAGCAAAGAGAAAATAGAATTATAGTTTTTTTTCTTTTAATGAAAAGATACGTTTCTCAAATATAAAGTGTGGACTTTATTTGAATCCTGACTTGAACAAACCAGCAGAGGCTAAATAATGTAAAAAGGAATTACTGTTAGTTTTTGTGATAACAGTGCTGATTTTGGTTTTTAAAAAAAGAGTTCATGCAGCTAGGCATTGTGGCACATGCCTGTAATTCTCAGTACTCTCAGAGGGTGAGACAGGAGGACCCCAAGTTCTAGCCCAGCCTGGGCAACTTAGAAGATCCTATCTCAAAATAAAAAGAGCTGGGGATGTAGCTCAGTGTGGAGGCTGTGTTCAATTCCTATTATCACAAAGGAATTCCTGCCACCTAAAGATAGGTAGTGAACTATTTAGCGATGATGTGATACGATGTCTGGAGTTTGCTTTAAGATAAGTGTGGTCATGATGTGGTAGCGCTATAGAATGTCACAAAATTAATCATGTGTTAATAATTAGTAGATCTGGGTGATAGATAAATGAGAATTCTTTTATTCTATCTACTGAAATTTGGATAAGAACAAAAACTGAAAGAATAAGACCCTTACAGGTTAGACAAGACAGCCGTTAACTGAGGAAGGTGGCAGGGCTTTGACAGATTATGAGGAAATACGACCCCCAAAGCTGGGTGAGGTGGCACACACCTGTAATCATAGAATCCAGAGGCTGAGCCAGGAGGATCACTGTGAGTTTGAGGCCAGCACAAGCAAGACCCTGTGTACCCCCAACCCCTAAAAAAGAAGGGCCACGAGGTGGTAAGCCAAAGCTGGGCTGTAGGCAGACAGTGGCAAGTTCTAGAACTAGAAGAGTGAGTGAGCCCTGTAGCTGGCCTTAGTCAACCACAGATAGAATAGCACCTTCTATTCCCAGCCTTCTTTCTCAGAGATGCTGGCCTGAGGCAGGAGGGCCAATGTTAAACCTGTCTTAAAGCCTTTGAAGGTTATTCTATGGGCACTTCAAAGAGTCAAATCAGGACCAACAGATGCACATTAAAGGAACTTTTGTGTAAATTTTTTTTAAGACAGGGTCTCATTATGTAGCTCTGACTGGCCTTGAATTCACTATTGTAGCCCAGGCTGGCCTCACAAAGCCTCCCAATCCTGGGATTATAGGTCCTGGGATTATAGGTATGAGCCACCAAACCCAGCTGATTTCAACATTCTAAGCGAATGTCTGTTAAAACTGTCAGGAATAACAGCAGGCTTTTTTTTTTTTTTTTTTTTAAATCGGTACCAGGGATCAAACTCACGACTGCCTGCTTGCAAGGCAGGCGCTTATGCCGCTGAGCTAAATCCCCAGCCCCTAGCAGGCCTCTTTTCAAGAGGTCCAACATAATGGCTTGCTGCCCCCTTGTGGGATTGCAACAGATTCCATCCCAGATAGAATGGGCCTCTCCAGGCCCAAAGCTTTAGCATCTGCATGGGACTAACTCAGGTTACCTAAAACAAATGGATGCCTACCCTCCTTGCTAAACTGACTCTCCAGACTACTCATTTCCCCTCAGAGCTAACAGCTACCTCATCCCCATCCTATGTGCTTCTCTCCCTTACCCAGCTCTAATACTCAGTGTTTTCTTCCAGCTCTCAACTCATACCCTTCTCTCTCTGCTACCATAGGTCAACCCTTTCTCCAATAAAACAAAACTCAAAGATTTCTTACTACCCATAGGAGGAAAACCTGCACTCTCAGCCAAGCATCTACAATTGGCCATAGCTGGCGCCAACCACCTCTTGTGCCTTGATCACACCTCCCCAGACTGCCCTCCACCACCCTTGGGTCTCTGCCCTGATTGCTCTCACCCTGCGGCGTGGCTTGTAGAGGCCTCCACTGAGCAGATGATGCATCGCAGCATCCTCACGGTCCCGACCACTGCGTACTGTATCAATCACCTGCAGATCCAGACATGCTCCACTGCCACTTTCCCTCCTGCAGGAAAAAGGGACATGTGTGCTGGGGAGGAGGCAGGTGCCACAAGCCAGAGGAAGGACAAAAGTAAAGTTGCTGACTTTTTCTGAGAAGGAATTGAGAGAGGACCAGTAGAGAGGCGCTTGGGGAGGGGGAAGAGATCTCAATGAACTCACAGCAGGTTGGTGACAGATGTCTCTGCCATAGAATTGCGGCTGGGCATAGAGGGCAGAGTGAGGCCTGTGGAGGACAAGACATGGCCTCCCTGCAGAGGTCAAGACCAAAGTCAGATAGCAGTCAAATGGAGGGTGGCCCAGATAGAGGGCAATAAAAATAACAATAACTTACTTTGCACTTTTTATATGCCAGATACTGTAAAAATACTTTACATAGTCTAACATAGATACTTGTCTATGTTAATACTTTACATAGTCTAACATAGATACTTGTAACATAGATTACAAAGTCTAACATAGATACTTGTATTCCAGCTTTCTTATTATGGCTAAGAAAACTGAGTCTCGCACAAGGTAAGTGATTTACCCAAGGTCCAAGCCTGTAAATGGTAACACTTGAATCACATCTGCTGACTGCAGAGTCCAGCTGTTTCCCATCTTTCTGTACCACCTGCCAGACTCTCTATATGGGCCCAAGCCAGGCTGGTTCCTGCACCCACCTATGGAGCCAACTGGGAATTCCCTACTCCCTGCTTACAATCCTGCCTACCTGTTGTCCCTTTCCTGCTCTGCTGGCCATTTTCCCACCCACCGCTGGCCCACCTGGTCCACGAAGCTGATGGCATCCCGGATGTTGAGCCTGTAGTATACATCCCAGATCTGGTCCCGGATGCGGTAGGCTGACCGCCGCATCAGCAGCTGACTCAGGTACTTCTTATCAAACTGCTCCCACCTATGGAGGATGGCAAGCCCAACTCTGAGTAACACCCACAAGGTCTGACTGGCTGGCTTTTCCTTAGATAGGGCAGGCCATTCACCAGCACTAATCTGGCTTTCTCAGTATGGATCTTAGCAGGGAGAATCTTAAAGCTAGTCCCTGTTTTTAGGGAGTTTACAGTATTAGGGAGAAACCCTGATATTAGTTAAAGTTATTACAAATAGGTAGAAAATTGTAACCATGGCAAAAAACTACCAAGCACAGTCATAGGGCATTCAGGCATTTGTCCTACTTATAGAGGCCAGGGAAGCCCTCCCTAAGGAACTGATACCCATGGTGAGATCTGAAGGACGAAAAGAAGTTAAGTGAGAAGGTAATGAGGGAGAGTTCTATCAGAGAAATATGTCCAATGTTGTTCCCAGTGGCCAGGCTGAGGGATCATGGTGGGTCCTGAGGCTCTAAAATAGGGTCAAGTAATTAGCAGACAGAGCACAATGGGGCTGGAGTCTGGCAAGTGCCAGACCATGCAGAGACAGGAAGGCCACACTGGGGAGACCTGTCTTATCCTGAGGCCACGGGGATGCCACAGAGGGCTTCAGGCAGAGGTCATTCAGCCTGAACCTCACACCCCATGCTGCCTTGGCTAGTGGGGCTGCTGCTGCTGCTGAAGGAGCCTCGGGGCAGCTCCCTCACCTGTCCCTCCAGTAGTGGTAACCATGGTGCCCCACAACGTCCTCCACTGCAGCCAGAATGTGGTCAAAAGTCTAGAAGGGGGTGGGTAGGGGGACTGGATCAGGAATCTGCCAAATAGCAGAAGGAAGAGAGGGACAGGTGGAGGGATGGGGTGCTAGTACCCACGTGCTCATGCAGCTCCTGGTTCAGGGTAGGTTTGTGATGCTCACTCCTCTTCACCTTCAGCCACTTGACCAGAGGCTTGATGGTCAAGCCCTATGGACAGGCAGGAGGTGAGACCTGCCCAATTCAGTTCCTTGCAGCCTCTCTTCTCTCCCTCCCCACAATTAGGCCTCAGTTCTCTTCCCCTATCCCATTGCACTCAAGGTCTGGGAAGTCAGGCCCCTATTTCCCCCAAAGGAAAAACCGCTGTCCCATAAGCTCCAAGATCCCTAGGACTTGCTGAACCCCAATTAGCGCCCAGCTAACTTCATAGGCGCTCCCACCTGCACAATGACTGTGAAGAAGACCACCACAATAGTGGTGGCCACAAAGTAGTCCTTGGCAGGGACCTTGGTCCTGTCCAGTAGGATGACGAGGGCAAACGCCACAGCCCCCCGCAGGCCCCCATAAGACATCACCACCTGGTCAATCTTGTCCAGAGGGACCAACCGGAACTGATTCAGCACCCATGTCTGCAGGACTACACCTACAGCAGGAGGGAGGCCAGCAGGAGCAAAGCGTTGGGAATAGAGGACACTAGGAATGGATGGTACCAAGTATCTGGGCTAAGGTGGCAAAAGATGGGAAAGGTGAACAACAAGGGGAGGGAGTCTCAGGAATTGCCAAGGATGTAGACTCAGATCGGGGGACAAGCTGCCAGAAAAGGGGGCCTGGGGAGGAGAGTGGGGAAACAGAGTGCCAGCAATACCAAGGGCTCGGAAGAACAGGATGAAGATGAGGGTGCCCAGCACCAGCCCGGAGTCCCAGGCCCATTTAGATGAATCTACAGCCGAGATGCCAAGCAGCATAAAGATGACAGTCTCAGCAGAGCTGGCTAGGGTCTTCATTGTGTATTTGACAGCTGTACGTGATTTATGGGAGATATTAGCCTCCACATACTTCTTACAGCACAAGCCACACATGGTCACCCTGCAGGAGGAACAAAAACGCAGGGCAAATGAGGAGGGGTTCCAGGAGGCTCAGCCCCTGGGGTTTGAGCATGCTTCAAGAGGGGGCATAACCCATCATAGGGTGTCAGACTCTCGGAGGCAAAGTCCAGGGAGGCATGAAGACTGCTAGTTAGTTGGGGCCCTGGGATGAATCTAAATCTCCAGACTTCCCATGTTGTGCCTCCTGGAGGGGCAAGGGAAAGAAACATGTTCCGACTAGCAGACTCTGAGGCAGCTTTTACATGTTGTGGGCACCACAGCCACTATCCCCAGGCCTGAAGTTCACTTCTAGCTGAGTCCACATTCCAGAGAACACTTCGGGCAGAGGAAGATTAGGTTTCCAAGTGTCCAGGATAGTTCTGGGTATCCAAACAGTTTTCCTAGCTTACCTGGTTTATTGTCTCCCCCAAAGACATTTCAGGCACTCACTCCCACAAGGGCTCAGGGAATCCTACAGACTTCTTAGGGTCCTGTTTTTGTCTGTGTTGGGGGAACCATTTCCAGTACTCCCTCCCAGCAGGCTGCCTGCAAGGCCCCCAGGACTTACGCAAGAATGGCGGACAATGAGGCCATTTCAGCAGTGAGGTAGGCTGCGTAGGCGAGGAGGAAGACCAGCAGGGGCTCGATGATGCGGACCCGCTTGGTGAAGCGTGTGGTCAGAGCCAGGAGGAAGGCAAAGACTAAGCCCACGGCTGCCCCGCCCAGACTGACCACAAACAGGGAGGCTGGGAAGGAGTGGGGTTGTCAGCATGACCCTGGCCCAGACCCTTCCTGGGCTGACAATACTGCTGCCTGGCAGAAAGTGGAGAAGGATGCCCACCTCGATCCCCAGGGTTTAAGATCCAGAACCAGGATCCCAGGATAAGGCTTGCCCACACCCCATTTCTCCACCCAAACAGCCTCTTCTGTCCTGATGCCAGGAAGGTAGGACTCACAACCTGGGGAGACAGACTTCCAATGCCAGCTAAAAGGGGGAAATACTGACCGACTCCCTTCAGGTAGTCAGTGGCACGCACATTGGCAGAACCCATCTCCACAAAGGAGTTGCAGACCTTGTACAGCACCTAAGTGAGAAGAATATATTCAGGAGTGAGTGGGAAGAAGTGACTGGGGTTACTAGGATGGGAGAAAAAAGCTGAAGCTCTATTTCTTCCCCTGCAGAGTAGGAGGGTCTGAAGCTGTCTAGATGTACAACTGGTTATGGCATGGGGTCAGGGATAGCTGAGCACTCTCACCACAGTGACTGCATCATTGAGCAAGGACTCGCCAAAGACGATGATAAAGAGAGTCTCGTTGACGTGCACTTCCTCAAAGACAGCCAGCACAGCCACAGGGTCCACTGCTGAGATGAGGCTCCCAAACAGCAAGAAGTCCAGCAGGCCAGCTTGTACCTTAGAGGCTACAGAGGGAGAGATGGAAAAGGGGCCAATAACTAATGAAAATGCTCTGTTTCTTGTGGCACTTCCAGGACTAGCCCAGATGCCACTCTCACTGATAAAACAGGAAGCCCAAACATTACTCAAGAACCTGAGAAGAGTACTGGCCTACAGGTCAGGAGACTTCAGCTGTGCCCATGCCTAAGGCACAGCTTTCTCATTCACCAGCTGTGGCATAGGCGTTGTCACTGTCACATGACTCCTTAGCTATGCCTCCTCACCTGACTACCTCCCAAAGTGACTACAAAGAACAACCCAGGAGATGGTTAAGAAAGCCTGTGTAAGCTGAAAATCTCAGGTGGCACTGGTAATTAGAAACTGCAGCAACAGTACTAGTAGCTACCAGCAGGTGGAAACTGGCTTTATTAGGGAAGAAAAGAACTTTCTCCCACACCTGTCATTTTCAGCCAAATGGATGTGACACACAGCTCTTAGCAGGAGGAAAAGACCTGAACACAGTATGAAAAACATAAGAGGGACTTGAACATTAAATAACCTTAGTGATCCTCCATTTCTCCATGAACAAAACGGAATAACACTATCTACCTCAAAAATTATTTAGACAGTGCTTAATACATAGTAACAGCAGATCGTGGTTGTGCACTCCTATAATCCCAGCACTGGGGAAGCTGAAGCAGGAAGATCACTGCAAGTTCGAGACCAGCCTTGGCTACAAAGTGAGCCCAAGTTCAGCCTGAACTGCATAGTGTGACTCTGTCTCAAAAAGACCTAAATAAATAAATAAGCACCCAAAAAATATTACCTACTATTAGAATTACTGCTAAGATCAGGATCTGATGTCTTCCCTTGTCCCAAATATTTTACTATCTTACTAGAAAAACCAGGTAGAAGTTCCTAGCTGGAAATTTCAAACTTTTTACCTTGGAAGAACCCTGAATTATCAAAATGAGGAGTGAACAGATTTCTTGGGTCAGGAAACAAAGAAGGGAATAGGAGAAGGCCTAAAGACAAGGAGCCTCAGGAAAAAGGAAGGCTAACCTTGGACCTGATACCAAGTAAACTTCATGGGCTCTACTTTCTCACTTATTAAATGGGACAAATTACACACTAATATGAAGAGTCAATGAGATAAGGAAGGAAGCAATGTCCATTATACTTTCAGGCATTTTATGGATGTATAATATGTATTTTAAAGTAATAATTTTTTAAAAAACAAGAAAATACCCTGACATGACCTAAGCAGAGTCAGAACAATAGGCTTTTGCAGGAATGGAGAGCTGTGCCTCAGGCAGTAGGGCTGGCAAATGGCAGTGTGGTAGCACAGGCAGGGACACCAGAGTGGTAATGCAGGCTCCTCAGCCTTGGCAGCCCACACACAGCTGGGGAGCCAGGCCTCTACTGAGCTGTCAAGCTGCAGAAGCAGACTTGACTGGCAGAGAGCTAGATGAAGGCTGAGGCCCATTTGGAACACTGCCTTGCACTCCAGGTGGGAGAACCTAAGACAGAGCTCCCAGAGCATGGCTCTTGCCAGCATGGAATCTTCAGAGCTGGAACAGAGAAGACAGAAGAAAGCCTCTCTTTGCCAGCCCAGGTTTCAGGGCCACTTACCCACAAGTCCAGCCAGTTGTAGGCCCCAGAGGGCAGCGCCTGTTGTGAAGGCATTCCAGAGCGTTCCCACTACAGCATAGGTGAGGATGGCACCCAAGTTGTCAAAGAACAGCCGACTAGGCATAAAATAGCCTGAGTCCAGCACAATAGGCGGCAGCAGGAAAAGGAAGAAGGTGCCTGGCTCCAGCTGGTACTCAGCTTTCTTGGCCACAGCTAAAACAATGCCCCCTAGTACCAGGCCCAGCAAAATCAGCAGGCAGCTCTCAGGAACCAGAGACGTTACTTTTCGAGACAAGTGAAACACTACAATGCAAGAAGAAGACAGCAGGCATGAATTTACCAATCACTTATCAACCTATTACCTCTCAGTCTTAGAAGGTTACCAAAAGTCAGAACCCCTAACCCTGAGACAAGGAAAGAAAAAAGGAAACTCAAAACGTTTACACTCTAACCTCTAGCACTATAAACTCTCCACTATAGCAAGGTCTTTACTTGTTTCTTCCTTTTCTGGAAATTCTCCCTCTTCTCTTTCTTCATCTTCGGGAGACCTGTTTTCTTTGATTTCCTTTCCTTAGTCATTATTTGAGTACCACCAGGTCCCATTCAAAACAAAGCTGGAAAAATCAGATCCTCCAAAGTTAGGCTGCTTGGGTTCAAGGACTAAGTCTTCCATTAATCAACTCATTCTATGATCTTGAGACAAATAATTTTACCTTCGGTTTCCTCATCAGCAAAATGGGAATAAAAATAATAATGATCTCATAGGATCAAAGCATGTAGCACATTGCTTTATAGTAAGTAATTATTATGATAAATGCTATATTACATATATAACATAGTTAGGGCTCGCCAACTATAACGAATATTATACCTTTTAAGCATACTGTAGGCCTTCCAGTTGGATGTACTTTCCATTACATGGGAATGAAAATAAATTAGTTGTTTAAAAACCTTATCTCTGTGTGATCTCAGGAAAATTATTTAATTTAGTTGAACTTCAATTTCTTCTTTTGTTATTATGGGGGAAATATTTGTCACAAAGAGTAAGACTAAAATGATATAAAGTGTGCAAATGTGCCCAGCATGGTAACAGGCTAAGAGAAGGTTCTCAGTGAATGTTAACTAAATATGAATCTGGAAGGAAATAATAACAAATCTGTCCCTAGGAAAAGAGGATGGGAAGAAGTTTCTACACTATTGCTTGCCACTCCTACATTTGTCCCGTAAAATATGGATCTCCCTTGGGCCCTTAGACCATAAGTGGACACATCTAACCCCACACAATCCCTAGGGTGCTGGTAGAGGAGGCTTCCTGTTAGTTTATGTGAGTCCTTATGCCAAGGCAGTGCTCCCTGGCAGCTGTACCAAAAGGGCCTAGAACAGTGCCTGGTACACAGTGAGCACTACATAAATATCTGTTGAATAAAAAAATAGAAAGACTGCCTAGAAATGAAGCTAGGAAGGAGTTCCTGAACATTCTATCTACCTTTGCCCACCTCTCAAAGAATTCTTCTTTTCCTCTGGCTGGTAAGGAGGCTCTCTTCTTCCTCCATAGGTGTCATCTAAACTAGAAAAAGCACTATAATATATGGGAGAAACTATAATTGTCACTCTAAACCCTAAGATAGGAACTCTCCCACAACTCACAGGCTTCTCAACAAAAATAATCCTTAGCTCCAAATCTGAGGCTGTTCCCACCTTGCTCTCAGTACTCCAAGGCCTCTGGGTGAGCTCAGCCATACCCCACATTTATCCCTGCCTTTGGTGTCCCTGACTCTCCTTTAGGGACCCTATTTCACCCTCATCTTCTCATATACACCAGCCCTGCAACCCAAGACACATCAGAAAAGCCATTTCTCTGGCGGAACCAGGCTCCCTGAAGGCATTTTGAGTCCTACTTTCCATTATTAATCTCCAGCAGCCAAAGCAGAGTGGAAAGTTCTGTTCCTGCTGAGGCTCCCACCCCCAAGCAGTGTCTGCAAGTGAAGGGGGCAAATTCTAGACTGTGAGATTCTACATGAAGGCTGCATTGGTGAGACTGGAGTACAGGCTGTGCCAGCATAGATGGGGAGTGAGTAGCAACGCTCAGCTATAATTAGTCACCCCCACAGCAAAGCCTGCACAACAGGGAGGAGGAGGGTCTTGGTGGGAGGAGGAACCACTGGCTGATCAGACAGGAGGGAGCAGAAGCAAGGAAAAGCAGCTCTGTTTAGAAAAAAGCCTGAATGAAACACAGCCTTCAATGTTATGAGGACTGAAGGAGGTCAAATGCATAAAAGCACCTAAGCTGGGCAGCACACAGTGAAGTACTGATAAATGAAAGTGCCCCCTCCCCAGTGTCGGGAATCAAACTCAGAGCCCTACACATGCTAGGCGAGTAAGTGACATCCCCAGCCCCAAATAGAAGTTTTCTTAAGGCTTGAAGTGGGAGAATGTGAACTTGGATAATGTGTGTGTGTGTGTGTGTGTGTGTGTGTGTGTGTCCCATACTTAGGGACAAAAAGCTGGCTTCTTAAAGTGGAAAGCAGAGTTGAGCTAGAAAGTGGCAGTTTAGTATCCCAAGAGAATACACACTTAGACTGGGTCTCCAAGGAAGGTTGATTCCTCAGGATCAGGATGCCTGGGTTCCTGGAGACTACCATCCCCTAGGAGTCCCATGCATTCTCACCTCACCTCTCACAGAGCTCTCTGGGAGGCTGGTTATTGGTGGGGACAGGCTGGACTGAGTAGGGCCCACTGCAAGGGAAAGAGGGAAGCAGAAAGGGCAAAGGAGACCAAAGATGGAGCTGGGGTAGGGTGAGGAACCCTTCAAGAAGCCAAATTCCCAGAGGTCCCACAGGGGAAAAGATGAGGTGAGAGACACACAAAAGAAGGCACATGAACTGGGCGACAGCTGGCATTTGTGTAATTAGAGCCTAAGTTTCAGTACTGTGTAAGAAGCTGGCCCCGGATGGAGGACACGGGAGCTGGGGGCCGTTGTGCTGCCGGCCGCTGGCCTGGCTCACGCAAGCACACACGCACTCACCTATTTTGGCCAGGCTGGCCACCAGGATCCAGAGGGCCACCAGGTAGGGGGCCTCCACCTCGTGCCACTGCCACCGGAAGAGCGCCAAGCCCGGGGGAGACTGGCCAGAACCCCCCGGCTCCAGGGTGGGCTCTTCGGTCTCCTGTGCCCCAGCTAGGGGCAACATGAGCAGGGGCAGTGCGGCGCGCAGCATTCTGCAGCCTGCCCAGCCGTTCTCCGGCACCGCACGGCCGCCAGCCTCGCGTCGCCGCTGCCTCCGCCGCCACCTACCGGGCGCCCCAGCGTCACAAGCACGTGGGACCCGCTCCCCCCAATCCCTGTTCCGATCCCCATGGGCCAGGTCGGGACTTCGAGACCCTGGCCCGAACGCCCGTAGTCTGGATCCCTTCCTCCATCCCCTCTAGTCTAGCCCCAGTGGCGGAAATTCCGCAGCCCAGCCCTCCCCCGAGTCCTGAAACCTAGTCTTTCTAGTTCGCTTTCCCAAACCGCCCCTCATCCGGATTCAGAGGGGTAAGCGGCCACCGCCCTCCGGGAACAGCCGCGAGGAACAGCACATCGCTGAACGGGCGGAGGCCCCTAGGGAATGGGCTCGGCTAGAAGGGCGCGGCTTCCGCTGAGCACCCGCGCCTCTGGCGGACTGCAGGACTCAGTGCGCAGCAAACCGAAGCGCAGCGGCCTTCCCCCACCTAGGACCCTCTTCAGCCCCCCGCCCGCGAGCAGAATTGCGCATGCGCACTAGACGCTCCCAGAAAGCTGTGGAGGTTACCCTCAGCGTCCTAGAAACCCTAGGCTGGGCTTAGCTCACGCCAGGCTGGAAAGAAGACTTCCTCTTTTCCCTCAAACTGCAAGGAAACTACAAACCTTTTCTACAAAACGGAGGAGAACTTACGGTATTTCCAGTAACCTGAGCGATCCACCCAACTTTAGGGAATTCGTCTTATCTCGCCCCAAACAGAGAAAGATTGTCTGCTCTCTTAATTCAAGCTAAGGAGCATCCAACCACTTCTCCCAAGGTGAGGGGAACATATACTACTTTTCTCCTCAACTGACTCATCCTATTCTTTTTCGAGAAAAAGCTACCTGTCCTTCCTATTACTTAAAGAAGCTCATTCTGTTCTTCAAACAGTGGAATCTGTTTTCACTTTTTGCTCCAAACTGAAAGGGACCCCTCTTACTGTTTTCCTAAAGTAAGGGAAATATTTTCACTGATATCTTAAACTGTAGGAATTAAGGTCTAAACGAGGAAGAATGGGCCAGCCACTGTCTGAAGAAACTTCCACCCCACCGGTTCTAACACATTCTCCAGCGAAGCTCAGCCTCACCTACCCCAGACACTAAGAAAGTGTCTCGGTCCTTCCTGCGCCCTCCGAACGGGGGCGAGCTCGAGTTTTCCCGCCTCCTAGCGGGGAAACTAACGGGATCGCGCCCGGCTCTCTGAGTGGTTGTCCTAAGCCCCGCCCCTCGCCGTGTAAACCACCCAGCGCGCGTTCGGGGCCTTGTCTTGGCCCCACCCCCTTCCTCGGTCCCGCCTGTCTGGCTCTGCCCCTCCAACAGCGTCCGGTCCAGTCCGACCCAAACAGCAGAGCCAGTCCAGTCGAAGCTGCCCCCTGGCAGAGACTGAGGCGCGCGGTGTGAACCGGTGGCCGAGCCATGGCGGGCGGGGAAGACAGCGGGGACGGGGAGCCGGTATCAGTGGTGACCGTAAGGGTGCAGTACCTGGAAGACACCGACCCATTTGCATGTGCCAACTTCCCGGAGCCACGCCGGGCCCCTACCTGTACCTTGGACGGAGCGCTGCCTCTGAGCACGCAGATAGCTGCGCTGCACCGCCTTTTGGGGGCGCCACTCAAGGTGAGAGTGGTGGAGAGAGGTTGAGGCGATTCGAGGTTCAGGGTGTGCGCCAAGAAAGCCAGTGGGAGGCGCCTGTCGGGGAGAAGCAGGAGAAAGTCCTCTCCTCTGGAAAAGGCTTGCGCTGGCGTTCCAGGGTCCTGCAGGGACTGAGGCTCTTAAGTTGGGATATCTAAGAGTGGAGATGGGAACTGGTCTACGCCACCCTCACTGCTCCCTCAAAGTGAGGTCTTTTGAAGAGATGCCGGGGATCCTTTCGCTGCCCTCTGCCCCAGGCGCGTTGACTGTAGTGATTCAGACTCCTTCCGACCTAGGGGGCGGAGCTGGGGAGGGAGTAGTTTCCACCAGCTACAGGTGAGATGGAGGTGGGACTACAAGGAGAGGCGGGCCCAGGGCGGGCCTCTGAAGGTAGCCTGGGTTGGGCCGTGTCTAGAGGTTGGGTTAGGACCTGAAGCACCGAATCTTTCCGTTGTAGTTGTGGGCTCAGCCTGGGAGGACTGGTCAAGAAAGGAGTCCATGGGCGAGGGGAGTTCCAGGGGAGCGGCAGAGCCTGGGCTATGCGGAGCTCGAGAGCTTGCACGGGCGGAAAAGCCCTTTGAGTCACCATCCCTACCCCCGCACCCGCACAGAAGGCCAGCGCCTGGAAGGGAGGGGGCAGGCCCGGCTAATTTTAAATCGCTGGCCTGCCCTAGTTTGTCCCTGTCCCAAGGCCGACTTTGCACAACGCTGGAGAGGCCCTTTTCCTCTCAAGGCGGGTCTGACCTTCCCTCCTTCCCTCTGGCTCACGGCGCTCAGCCCCCCGCAGGCAGTCCTTTCCGGCGTTCTGTTTCCGGGCCAGGAGTCTGGGAGGCGCACTACCACTCCTCAGGATTCCCAGCCAGCCAGTCTACCCAGAGTAGTGGGGAAAAGGAGAGATATAGTGGGGGTGCATCAGCTGAGCGCTGAGTTGCGCAAACATGCCCCTTAGGCCCGGGGTCTTCGCTGGAATGTGCCCCGGGCGCCAGGCCCCCAGCCTGCATTCCTTGGGCAGCTCCGCCTCTGCCTCCCGGTGCAGACTGGAGAGGTGGGGGGAACTACTGACTTGGGGAGTACAGCTTCAAGACCACAGCTGGAAAGGCAGGCAGCTTGATGCCCACCCCTTTGTTTTGATGCAGCCCCATCTTGTCCTGCGAGATTCAGAGAACTGAAGTGTACTTCAAAGAAGTGTGTCCACCCAGAGGGCCACTGGCATTCAGAACCGGGAGAAAGGGGTGCTGAACTGAGACTGTTCAGGCTCCCGGAATTCCTAGTTCAGAAATAAGGATGGAACCTGAGCCTGGAAAGTAAAGTGGAGTAAAGGGACAATAACATTCCTCCTGTTTCCCCAGTGTAGGACAGGACCCAATGCCATTCTTCACATCTGAGGATAGGTCTGGGAGTTCAGCCAAAGGGGCTGGGAATTATTCTTTCTCATTTAGAAACCCATCTCCTCCACATGATTAGCATGCACAAGGCCCGGGCTAGATTCCTGGCACCACAAAAAGGGGCAAGGGGCATTTCCCCACCCTACCAGGTACCTGTCTTCTGCTCCCTAGCTAAGGACACCACTGAGCTCCATAG